ACCGGGGGGCTTGGCATACCAGGACATTTCCTGGGGAGATGCTAAGATGCTACCGTGATGGCCACCCTTCTTGATGGACAGATGGATGGAGAGTCAACGCAGTCCGTGTATGATGAAACATTGCATGTAAGCCATCAGAAAGGGCATCTCCCAACAAAAGCAAAATATTCCCACTGGGAACGTCAGCCCAACGTCACTCGGAACAAGGGCTTGGCATACCAGGACATTTCCTGGGGAGATGCTAAGATGCTACCGTGATGGCCACCCTTCTTGATGGACAGATGGATGGAGAGTCAACGCAGTCCGTGTATGATGAAACATTGCATGTAAGCCATCAGAAAGGGCATCTCCCAACAAAAGCAAAATATTCCCACTGGGAACGTCAGCCCAACGTCACTCGGAACAAAGAGTAATTCTCCGTAATTAGCCCTGCTGCGTATTCACGTGCAGAAGGACATTAAATACGAGCAGGTGGCAGTACGTATGACAGGACTCAGGGAAGGTCAACTTTGCTGCTGTCGGATTCCTCACCTATGAAGGAGAATGAAGTCGATAACCAGGTCAGTTAGTTTTAGACATTCCTTTATTTTTAAAAAATTAACTAGATTATTATCAATGGGGGAGAATTAGATCTGGCCCCAAAACAGCAGGAAGTTTAATGACAGAGAAGAGCTATTCCACTCAACTGTACAATGTTTCATTCAACATGAAGTCCCTTTACCGTTTGCTGGCCAAGAGCCTTTAGCTTGTTTTGGGGAATTCCCAGAACCCTCTTGCTCACCCAACCATTGTAGAGATCCTGGGCAGAGATGAATGGATGTGATGGTCATTGGCACGAATGGAAAACAAAAGGACACGTTTGCCACGTTTGGGCTTGTTCAGTCTGCAGAAGGGAAGAGTGAGGGGGGATTTGAGAGCAGCCTTCAACTTCCTGCAGGGGGGTCCAAAGAGGCTGGAGAGAGACTGTTCTCAGTGGGGGCAGAACAAGGAGCAATGGGCTCAAGTTGCAGTGTGTGGCGGGGGTGGTTCTTAGTGGGGACAGAACGAGGAGCAATGGTCTCAAGTTGCAGTGGGGTGGTCTAGGTAGGCTATGAGGAAAAACTATTTCCATAGGAGGGCGGTGAAGCACTGGGCTGGGTTCCCTAGAGAGGGGGTGGAATCTCCATCCCTAGAGATGTTTCAGTCCCGGCTTGACCAAGCCCTGGCTGGGATGGTTGAGTTGGGTTGGTCCTGCTTTGGGCAGGGGACTGGACTTGATGACTCCTGAGGTCTCTGCAAGACCTAGGATTCTATGATTCCAAAAAATAAGTGTGCGCACGATGGGGGCTGTAGTGTAAACAAGTAGAGTTTAAGTTTTCCTACCAATTGAACTTTGATGACCACTGCTTGCGCTAATACCTTTGTGGGGTTTTTTAAATACCTGTATCCAGCAGGTGCCCATTTCCAGCACCGCGAAGGACAATCAAAGTGCCACCACCGAGTTCATCCTGCTTGGGTTTGGAGACCTTCATGGACTGCGGCTCCTGCCCTTTGTGTCGTTTTTATTTACCTACCTGATCGCCGTCTCTGGGAACATGCTCGTTGTCTTCGTCGTCTTGGCTGATCGCAGCCTTCGCACCCCCATGTACTTTTTCCTGGGCAACTTGTCCTGGTTGGAGATCTGCTACGTCTCCACCGTGGTCCCCAAGATGCTGAAGACTTTGCTTAGCGAGCGCGAAGTGATTTCTCTCGTGGGCTGCATCACGCAGTTGTACGTGTTTGGTTCCCTGGGCATTTCCGAGTGTTTGCTGCTGTCCGTCATGTCCTTTGACAGGTATTTAGCCATCTGCCATCCGCTCAGTTATTCAGCGATTATGAACTTCCGGGTTTGCCTTCTCCTAGCTGCGGGTTCCTGGGCTGCGGGTTTCACGGTTCCTTTGATAAGCATCGTTATGCTATTCAGGCTGCCTTTCTGTCGTTCCAACGAGATCGACCATTTTTTCTGCGATTTAATGCCGCTGCTAAAACTGTTGTGTGCGGGCGCTCACAAGATCGAGGTTGTGACTTTCAGCTTTGCTGCCGGGATTGTTCTAGTCCCATGTTTGCTAACCCTGGTTTCCTACTGTAGAATCATCTTGACCATCTCTCGGATCCCTTCCGCCACTGGGAAGAAGAAAGCCTTCTCCACCTGCTCCGCCCACCTCCTTGTGGTCAGCATTTTCTACGGGGCCCTCATTCTTATCTATGGCGTCCCCATTGGGAATCAGTCGCCGGGTCTCAACAAAGCCATCTCTGTGCTCTACACGGTCCTGACGCCCACCGTCAACCCCCTCATATACAGTCTGAGAAACAAGGAGGTCAAGGGGGCCCTGTTGAAAATTGCAATGAAGGCGGTCGCTTTCAGAAGTTGAAGGGCTGTCCCTGACGTAGGAGGTATGGCATGAATTGCAGGTTTTGTCCATTGCTGTCAATGTAGATCGTCGCTACGTTAAAAATACTGGGCCGTATGCGAGAGTGAGTGCGAACAGCAGTTCTCTGAATTTAGCATTGATGGTTTGTTACCCTATTAGGGGTTGTGGAAACCATTTCATATTTAACTAGAAGCCATTTGTATCACAGAAGCCATTTAAGTTGCCTGCTTCGGCACGTACGCTAGAAAGTGGACTGACCTTCACCGATGTGAGAAAATCCAGGAGGATGAACTGTTGGAATGCGTTAATGAACTATTTTGAGCTGAAGCTCCTACTCCCTAATACCTCTTTGCTGATATTAGTTTCTCTTTGAAGTTCGCTTTGACTTCTTGCCCTGGCATCAGACTTGTTTGGTTAAGGGTATAAAATACTAGGATTGATTTGTATTGGGCAGCCTTACTGGGCCCGGCTCTGCTGGGGTCACGTTTGGCTCACTTTGTGCCTTATTGATCAATAAAGCTGTTTGTTAGCCGCCTAAACACAGAGAAGTCTTTTGCTTCGACAGGGTGTTTTGTAAATTTCAGGCAGTGTCTCCTGTGATTGGACAGCTGTAAAACAGCTTCCACTAAAGTCTATTTTAATGGGGTCTCCTGTATTTGACTCCTGGTGGGATTCTGTGTTGCTGTACCATGTAGAACTTGTGCAGAATTACCGTCCTGTGCAGAATATCGTGCTTCCCCCGCAGAGCCGTGGCTGCAGAGCAGCTGGTGGCTATGAGGCTGCCGGACTCTGCAGAGCACAGTTCTCTAGCTTGCATTGAGTGCCGTGCCATCCCAATGGGGATGGAGGCTCTGCTCGCTTTCACAGCCTGGCCTGATGGGAGAGGGCTGGGGAGACCCAGCTCTTGCAAAGCGGGAGGAAAGATAGGACCACACGGGGCTGCATCATGCTCATGAAACTCATGAAAGCAAAGGTTATGTAGGGAGGAGGGTCTGGGCTAGGGAGTGCCCCATGGTTGGGCCATAAGGGGAGGGGTTTTCAGATTTCTGGGCTGAGAAGTGCCTGTGACTGGGCTCTGAGGGATCTTCTAGGGCCACCCAAATCCCTTCCACATTGGTCTGTCAGGTCTGGCTTTGTAAAGGTATTTAGGCACCTCTGGGATTTTCAAAAGCTTTGGGGGGAGGTCACCCCCTCAAGCACTGCCCCGCTGGATCTGGGTAGTCGGAAAGGTTTCTTTCCATCTCTGCTCCTGCTGGAATCTTCTTGTTGTCGCTGTGCGTATTAGTGACTTGTTGATTGGCATCTTGAAATAAATGATTGACATAACTAAAACGGGAGGGATTGTAATGGGTCATTTTTTACAATTGAACTATGCAGCATTTGGCCAAGTCTCTAATGTATTGGCACAGGATGGTTCACGCTTTGGTGCAGAACTCTCCTGGGGTGGCGTTTGTCCACACGTCTGTCCACTCCACACATCTGGACTGTGTCTACACTGGCCACTTATTCTGGAAAATCAGCCGCTTTTCCGGAATAACTTGCCAGCTGTCTACACTGGCCCCTTGAATTTCCAGAAAAGCACTGACGATCTAATGTAAAATCATCAGTGCTTTTCCGGAAAAACTATGCTGCTCCCGTTCAGGCAAAAGTCCTTTTCCAGAAAACTGTGCCGGAAAAGGACCAGTGTAGACAGCCCAGATTTCTTTTCCGCAAAAAAGCCCCGATCGCGAAAATGACGATCGGGGCTTTTTTGCGGAAAAGCGCGTCTAGATTGGCCACGGACGCTTTTCCGGAAAAAGTGCTTTTCCAGAAAAGCATCCTGCCAATGTAGACGCGCTTTTTCCGAAAATACTTTTAACGGAAAATTTTTCCGTTAAAAGCATTTCCGGAAAATCATGCCAGTGTAGACGTAGCCCTAGAGTATTGTGTCCACCTCTGGGCTCCCAGTTACAGGGAGGATGTGGAGGCATTGGAAAGGGTCCAGCGGAGGCGACCAAAATGATTAGGGGGCTGGAGCATATGACCAACGAGGAGAGGCTGGGGGGTTTGGGTTTGTTCAGTCTGCAGAAGAGAAGAGAAGAGTGAGGGGGGATTTGAGAGCAGCCTTCAACTCCCTGAAGGGAGGTTCCAAAGAGGATGGACAGAGGCTGTTCTCAGTAGTGACAGATGGCAGAACAAGGAGCAATGGGCTCAAGTTGCAGTGGGAGAGGTCCAGGTTGGATATTAGGAAAAATTATTTCACTAGGAGAGTGGTGAAGCACTGGGATGGGTTCCCTAGGGAAGTAGTGGAGTCTCCATCTCTAGAGGTGTTTAAGTCCTTTAACCCTTGACCAAGCCCTGGCTGGGTTGATTTAATTGGGATTGGTCCTGCCTAGGGCAGGGGACTGGACTTGATGGCCTTCTAAGGTATCTTCCAGCTTTATGGGTACATCTAAACTACAGGCTTTTGTCGACAGAGGCTTTGTCGACAGATACTGTCGTCAAAGCTTCTGTCGACAAAAAGCGTCTAGACTACAGCCAGTACTGTCGACAAAGCAAGCCGCTTTGTTGACATGACAGTGTAGACGCAAAGGACAGTGTAGATGCAATAACGCCTTCTGTCGACAAAACTCTGTCAACAAAAGGCGTTATTCCTTGTAGAATGAGGTTTACCACCGTCGACAAAACTGCTGAGTTCTGTCAACATTATGTCGGTGGTAGTGTAGACCCAGGTATAGTTTTGTCCACTTTTGTCGACAAAAACCTGTAGTCTACACATACCCTATGATTCTATGATTCTGGAAGGGGTTGGCCCAAAAGCGGCTGGGTGGCCAGCCGGAGACACCTCACAGAAGCAGGAATCTCAGAAAAAGCTCCACGCTCAACCTTTGGATCTTACATGGAGCAGGGAGTGCCCATCGGTTGGGTTTAACGCCAACAGATACCGGTCAGCGGAATCAAACCTGTGACCTCTGGAGCTTAGTGCAGGAGCTGCTGCCACATGAGCAAAATGCCAGTTGGCGCCCAGCTAAGGCTGATGAGCAGACTCATTCTCCCTCTGGAATTGGTCTCGGTCCCACTCCATGGGACAGCACCCCACGCCCAGGGGTGTGTGGGATACACAAGATCTGGGACCCACCCCCCATGCTCCCCAGCCTCTGCATTCAACTACTGGCGTGGGGACAGAGCAGGTGCATCCGGTGGGGAGATGCGGCAAACTCTGCTAGAGGGAGGGGCATGGGGGGGCTCTGCTGGGAACCGTTAGCTTCTGTTTGTGCTGCCAGACCCAAGCTAGGTACTGGATTAACATTCCCATGTAGGGCCCATAGATCCTACTCACAGCCCTGGCTCAATGTGCAGTGGCAGTCAAAAAAGCAACCAGATTGCTGGGAATCCTGAGGAAAAGGATAGAAAATAAGACAGAATGTAACCTACAGCCTCTCTGTGAACCCCTGGCTCGTCCACACCATGAGTACATCGTCCAGCCCCAAAAATACACTGGCATTGGAAAAGGTTCAAAAGGGCAACAGAAACGATGAGGGGTTTGGAACGGGTCCCATACAAGGAGAAATTAAAAAGACTGGGTCTTTTCATCTTAGAAAAGAGGAGACTAAGGAGGTAAGATTTGACCGAGGTCCATAAAATCATGCTTGGTGTGGGGAAAGTAAATAAGGAAGTCCGCTTTTACTGCGAGTCATGAAATGAAATTAATAGGCTGCAAGCTTCTCCAAACAACGCATGGTCAACCTGAGGAACTCCTTGACAGAGGATGTTGTGAAGGCCAAGACTATCACAGGATTTTTAAAAGAACTAGACCACAATAACAATAACTACATGTTAATAATTAATTAATCATTAATCGTGATTAATTGGCATCAGTAGTTATTCATTATTAATTCTGTGGCTTGTACTCTAAATTGCAGGCCTACATGTCTGGTGTCATGTGGGAGCAGCTAGCCTACACATTGCAATGTCTAATGCAGATGCCATCACATATTCAAAAAGGATCCAGGTCCTTAAGGAGCCCAAATCGCACCGACAGATGCTGCCTTGGCCCTGTTAAAATCGAGGTTGAGGCTCCTCAATCCGTTGGCCATGTCAACAGCACCTAAATTTGGGCCTACGTGTGGTCTTTGGGGCACGAGTATTGAATGAATGAATCGGGTTAGTAAAGCACCGAAATGCACATTCCTGTTTCCCCTTTATTCACGGTGTGCCCCGTCCCAGCTCCTTGGGAGGTGGCTGTGGGCTTCTCCGGGATTTGGACAACTCTCTGGTCGCAGGAAAGTTTGGTGCCTGGGCTGAAAAAGCCCCACCATGTTTTGGCTCAGCTGTGCGCAGGCCACAGAGAGAGAGAGAAAGAGAGAGAGACTGCCCCTCTTCTGTGGGGAGGTGTTGCTTCAGAGTGGCCTTACAAGGCCGTTTCCCATGGGCCGTGTCTCCTTTGCTTTGACCCCGCACACTCCCCGTGAGGTACACTTGGCGCTACAATCTCTTGTGCATCACGGGGAGGTCTCTGGAGACCGACCCTCAGACGGTCACCAAGGCAGATAAAAAGGCTCTGCCTTGACGCAAACATCCAGCCGTTGGACTGAATTCAAGACACTCAGCTCTGGGTGCCAGGTAGGGGGGCTCATTTGTGCTCTGGGCGGAAGCTGGGGGGCATTTTTGCTGTTCTGGCTCTATTTCTGGGACAATGAGTTCCACAGCTGTGACAATTCGGGGTAACAGCAGTCCTGGGAGGGGCAGAAAACCTCACGCAAAAGAGCTTAATGCAGAAAGCTCATACGCTTCCCTGGTGCATCTCGTGCTGTCCCTGACTAATCGATCAGATCCTCGTGTCTCACCAGCCTGGTAATGCCGACGCACCTCATAGACTCCTAGAAATGTATTCCAGTGTTTCACCACCCTGACAGGGAGTTTTTCCCCATGTCCAACCTAAACCTCCCTTGCTGCAATTTAAGCCCATTGCTTCTTGTCCTGTCCTCAGAGGCCAAGAAAAATAACTTTTCTCTCTCCTCCTTGTAACACGGTTTTAGGTACTTGAAAACAGCTCTCATGTCCCCTCTCAGTCTTCTCCTTTCCAAACTAAACAAGCCCAATTCTTTCCATCTTCCCTCCTAGCTCATGTTCTCCAGACCTTTCATCATTCTCGTTGCTCTTCCCTGGACCTTCTCCAATTTCTCCACAACTTTCTTGAACTGTGGTGTGCAGAACTGGACACAAGACTCCCACTGAGGCTAAATCAGCGTACAGCAGAGCAGAATTAATTCTCGTGTCTTGCTCACAACACTCCTGTTAATGAAACCCGTTAGCAGGATGCTCATAAATCAGGGCAGTTCTGCACATATCCAGCAAGTATCTGGGTGTGGCTGGCTGGGAGGACAGGAGGGCGAATTTCTGAAATGGCTGGAAATGGGACAGGAGAATCAAGTGCACACATCTCCTTATTGAAGAGGTGCAAAGGGTCTGCTACACCATCACATTTTCAGCCCCAGCCCAGTCAAGAGAGCACGGATGGAAGGGAGAGTGCGGGAAGGCTTAGAGGAATGGCACTCGGCAGGAGAAACTCGCATGGTTTCTGGAACGCCACGTTGGACCCCGGACTAGAGGGTGGGTGAGGCAGAGAGAGTCCAGCCAGAAGCGGTTGCCAAGAATTGGGGCATCCAAAGTCTTTGGATGTTCACAGCAAACCTGACAAAGCCACTCGCCCGACGCAGTTGAGAAACGTCGTCCCATAGACTGACATGGCAAAGGGCAGCGGGTTGCTTTTAAACGGGGTTTGATCCCATGTCAATGAGGAGGGAAAACAGCCCCCGGGACAGCAGTGGAGTTACTCCTGATTAACAGTGGGGTGTGTGAGAGGAGAAAGTGCCCCATTAAAGGGTACAGCTACACAGCAGTGTTACAGTGGAATAACTGACCCAACGTCAACACAACAAACCGTTATTTCAACAGAATGTCAAAATACTTTCGAGCTGGAGCAATTCTTACTCCAGCTCCTGTAAGCCCCATTCTACGAGGAGGAAGGGAAGTTGGAGGAAGAGGGCTTTAACCTGGACTTCCTGCTGTGTTGATAGCGCCGAAAGCCAAAATCAGCTATTTTGTCTTCAGCTACGCAATTGACATAGCTGAAATTGCTTAATTCGGCTTTAGCCCTGCTGTGTACACACCCAAAAAGAGTAAAATCTGTGTTGAGTCATCAGACAACAGGGAAAAAGGGAAGTGAATCTGGCCTCCCAAAAAAAGATTATCACTTTGAAAGAAACTCACAACTGCTCAATGCCATGGTCATCTATCTATCTATCTATCTATCTATCTATCTATCTATCTATCTATCTATCTATCTATCTATCTATCTATCTATCTATCTATCCCCATTTCCAAGCAGACCACACAAGACACAAGCGCAGTCAAGAGGAGAAAGGAAAGAACAGCATAGATAGGAAATGCAGATACTCTGGTGACTTTTCCAGGTGATGTAGAAAACCACAGGCACAGCAGAGAATCTAATCAGCCACTCTGACCAGCAATGGCAAAGTTGTACTAGCACCAGGGCATCGCGGTTAGCCGTCACCTTCTGGTCACAAGCTCATGGCAGCATTGCAAAGTATTGAGTCTTGGCCAGCTAAGCAGGGAATTTCTTAGACAGAAGAAAAAAATAAGGAGAGGGACAGGAGCATAAATTTCCTGCAGAAAGGGATTTAGGGGTCAAAGTGGGCCACGAGCTAAATATGAGTCAACAGTGGGACGCTGTTGCGAAAAAAGCAAACATGACTCTGGGCTGCATGAACAGGAGTGTTGTGAGCAAGACACGAGACGTCATCTGCATTAGTTGGTGCTGATCAGGCCTCATCGGGAAAGACATGGACGAATTGGAGAAGGTCCAGAGAAGAGCAACAAGAATGATTATAGACCTAGAGAACGTGCGCTAGGAGAGAAGACTGAAAGAACTGGGCTTGTTTAGCTCGGAAAAGAGAAGACCGAGAGGGGACATGAGAGTGGTTTTCAGGTATCTAAAAGGGTGTCCAAGGAGCAAGAAGAAAAAAAATATCCTCCTTCATCGCTGATAACAGACCAAGAAGCAATGGGCTTAAATTGTGGTAAGGGAGATTGAGGTTGTACATGAGGAAAAACTTCCTGCCTGTCTGGGTGGTGAAACACTGGACTAAGTTGCCTGGGGGGGTTGTGGAATCTCCATCCCTGGAGATATTTATGAGCGGGTTGGACACACACCTGTCAGGGATGGTCTAGACGGTGCTCAGTCCTTCCGTGAGGGCAGAGGACTGGACTCGATGACTCTCAAGGGCCCTTCCAGTCCTAGGATTCTATTCTAGGGTCAGCAGAGATGAGTCCCAGCCCTCTGTGATATTTTCCTCTCTCCTTTCCCCTGCAGATCCCAAGTATGAGCGATGGAAATGACACTACGGTGATGGAATTCATCCTCCTGGGTTTCACCGGGAGCCCAGAGCTGCGAGCCCTGCTCTCTGTACTGTTCTTGCTCAGCTACTTCACCATCCTGTTGGGCAACGGCGGCCTCCTGCTGGTAATCCACCTCGACGCGCGCCTGCACACCCCCATGTACCTCTTCCTCAGCCACCTGTCCTTCGTGGACCTCTGCTACTCCTCCGCCGTCCTCCCCAAGGCCCTGCACACCTTCATGACGGGGGACGGGGCCATCTCCTTCCTGGGGTGCACCCTGCAGTTCTGCGTCTTCGGCGGCATGCTGACCACCGAGTGTTGCCTGCTGGCCGCCATGGCCTACGACCGTTTTGTGGCCGTCTGCAAGCCGCTGCTCTACACCATGGCCATGTCCGAGGGGGTGTGCGCCTGGCTCCTGGCCGGCTCTTATGTCGGCGGCTTCCTCAACTCCCTCGTCCAGACCCTCTGCACGTTCCGCCTGCCCTTCTGCGGGGCCCGCCGGGTTGACCATTTCTTCTGTGACGTCATGCCCCTGGTGAAGCTCGCCTGCACTGAGACCTGGCGCAATGAGGCGATCATCCTGGCCTCAGCCTGCCTTATCGGCATCAGCACCTTCCTCACCACGCTGGTCTCCTACCTCTACATCTTCACGGCCATCCTCCGGATCCCCTCCCCTCAGGGCCGGCGCAAGACCTTCTCCACCTGCACCTCCCACCTCACCGCCGTCTCTCTCTTCTTCGGGACGCTGATCTTCATGTACCTGCGGCCCCGGCCCAGCGATTCCGCCCAGCAGGACAAAGTGGTCTCGGTGCTCTACACCCTGGTGATTCCCATGGCCAACCCCATGATCTACAGCCTGAGGAATAAGGAAGTGAAAGAGGCATGGAGGAGAAGGCTTCCTCTCATTGTCTGTGGGTAGCGTCCTGCCACCCGTCCCTTCCCCACAAAACCTGGCCTTGGTGGAGCTTCCCGTAACACCTAGCAGGGGGAAAAGCCAGAGACTCCGTGTCATCTACAAGGGCTTTGCCACAGGACCTCAGGAGGACAGAGGTAGTTAATGGACTCAAGGGTGTGAGATGCCCAATCCATTCACATCCAAGGAGGGCAATGCCTTTCTCTCTCGGGATCTTTGAAAACAGCTATCGTGTCCACTCTCCTTTTCAAACTCAACAAGCCCAATTCTTTCAGTCTTCCCTCCTAGCTCATGTTCTCTAGACCTTTCCTCATGCTTGTTGCTCTTCTCTGGACCTTCTTCAGTTTCTCCACCTGTTTCCTGAAACGTGGTACCCAGAACTGGACACAATACTCCAACTGATGCCTAATGGGTGCAGGGTAGAGCAAAAGAACGACTTCTTGTGTCTTGCTCACCGCACTCCTGTTCATGCAGCCCAGAATCATGTTTACTTTTTTTGCAACAGCATCCCACTGTTGGCTCATATTTAGCTTGTGGTCCACTCTGACCCCTAGATCCCTTTCTGCAGGACTCCTTCCTAGACAGTCGCTTCCCGTTCTGTGTGTGTGAAATGGATTGTTCCTCCCTAAGGGAGCACTTTGCATTTGTCCTTATTAAACTTCATCCCATTTACCACTCTGACCCCGGGTGTAATCAAGCTGGCAGGAGGGCGAGCCTGAAGCATGGGCCGGGTGCAAGGCCTGTGGACTGAACCAAAGTCAGCCAACTTCAGGCTATGAGAAGAAGTCAGGCCTTGCTTTATAGCAAAGGCTGGCTTGGAAGTTTATGGTCCAGTACGTGAGCTTGGCAAGAATACGCCTGGTGTTACTAAGGCACAGACATTCCTAGGAAGTGTGAAGTGCTAGCTATGTACATGAATACATGCCAGGAGTCCAAGAGTACTGCAGTATTGTGTCCAGTTCTGGGTCCCACACTACAGAAAGGATGTGGATACATTGGAGAGGGTCCAGCGGAGGGCAACCAAACTGATTTGGGGTTTGGAGAGATGACCTATGAGGAGAGGCTGAGGGATTTGGGCTTGTCTTGTCTGCAGAAGAGAAGAGCGAGGGGTTCCAAAGAGGCTGGCGAGAGGCTGTTCTCAGAGGGGGCAGGTGGCAGAACAAGGAGCAATGGGCTCAAGTTGCAGTGGGGGAGGTCTCGGTTGGATATGAGGAAAAGCACTGGGATGGGTTCCCTAGGGAGGGGGTGGAATCTCCATCCCTAGAGGTGTTTAAGTCCCGGCTTGACCAAGCCCTGGATGGGATGATTGAGTTGGGTTGGTCCTGCCTTGGGCAGGGGGCTGGACTCGATGACTCCTGAGGTCTCTGCCGGCCTTGGGATTCTAGGATTCTAAGACGACCCTGATACAAGGTTCTGATACAAGCTTCGCTCCTTGAAGATGGGACAGGAGCAGCCCGATGCCCCCCAAAGATAATCGCAAGGCAATGGGATAGTAGATGGAGGTGGTTTGAGCCAACCGGCTACTACAGTCTAGGGCGGGAGGGCAACAGACCTGAGAGAAGGGAAGTGTGTGACTTGTTCGTATCGGTGCATAAAGTGGTCACGGGGGGGGGGCTCTTTGCCCAGCCAAGGGGGCCACGTAGGGCCTCACTGATAACATAGCTGAGTCTGCTGTGCCTGACGTGTTATGTATCTGTAAACAAAGATCTGGGGAGCTAGCACCGGGTCCCCTGGGGAAAAGTTCTGCTCAGGCCCCTTGACCACTCAACGGAGCCTGCGGGTCTTTGGATCTGCTGGGCTGTCTCTCTGCAGGGCAGGCACAGCATCCGGGGAGCTAATTTCTGGGAACCAGATACGGACAGCCTGCGGCGAGGCACAAACTCAGTGGTTCTCCAGACGATACCACAATGTCTACAGTCACTGAAGTGTGGACACACACACACCTGTGCATGTGTCCCTGTGAGAACACAATATAAGAACACAGACGGGGTCAGACCAAAGGCCCATCCAGCCCAGTGTCCTGTCAGCCCACAGTGGCTAGTGCCAGGTGCCCCAGAGGGAGGGAACACAACAGGGAACCATCCACTGACCCCTCCCCTGTTGCCCATTCCCAGCCCCTGACACACAGAGGCCAGGGACATTGTACCTAACCACCATGAATTGATCTAGGTCTTTTTGGAACCCTGTGGAAGTCCTGGTCTTCACCACACCCTCTGACCAGGAGTCGTGCGCCAGCCAAAGGCCGTGTCTGGTCAAGGGCTAGTTCCAATATTAGCTCTTCTAGTCCCATGCTTGGTGTGTTCCGTCATCTCCTCCCTTAACGATCCCGTGGCTTCAGCTGGATCACCTGACACCGCAGGCAGATTGGTAAAAGAAATCTGTCACACGAGCACAATAGACATCATGAGAGCCCCCAAAGAGGGCTCTGATAAAATACCACATCGGGTTTATTGTCGAACAAAGTGCGTTACTAGTCGTCGGCAGCCAGACAGCCTCTGAGCCCCGATGCATTTGAACCCATGACAATGGACTTGGCTCGGTCACTAATATGGATTTCACTATCGCCTCCTAGGCTGGCCAAAGAGCTGGGCTGAATGGCCCCCACATTGCTAGACGATTGCAAAGGTGCTCAGACTCTTTTTTCCTAACAGAAATCAAAATAAAGAAATGAAGAATAAATGCATGTTAAAAACTTACTCCAAGACAATGCAAAATGATTTACTTTCCTGGCATTCCTCTTCACCATGGACGGGCACAATGTTGAAAGGCCGTTATTTTACCGGATGAATGAGCATCACTTTTTGCTTTTACCTCTTAAAGTGGGGTGGGGAATAGAAGAAAGAACTGAAACACTTGAAAGGATGAATAATGCAGGGAAATAGTGAAATGACCATTTTTTTCCCCTATGTAGGACACATCTAATACTTTGTCTCCCACATCTGGAGGAATAATTTGGAAAGTCCAGACACTGTCTGTCTTTGGAACGCCCCATCTAAGAGACAACAGAGTCTGGAAGACTCACCTTGAAGTTCAGTTTTAAAAACCACGATGAGTTCGGCAAACGCTGCCTTTCTTTCTTCCCACGTCTTTGAACTCCAGGCCCCATGCACCTCACAGCACTTCAGGTAGGAATTCTTGCTCTTCTCACCTGCTCAGAGAATGGGCAAAGTTAGGTTAGATTTGAGACGACCAATGGGAGGCTCATTCAATATGCTCTGGAGCTCAGGGATGCTCAACGGGTGCAAATGCAGTTGTGGTGGCCACTAAAAAGCAATAGGATTTATGGGTCAAATTTTCTCAGGCCCTTTTGCAAACCTGAGCCCGTGTGTATCCAAATGGCCACGGGAATTTGTGGAAATACTGGCAAACACCGGGATATTGTCAGCACGCAGCAATTCTTTCATTCACTCATTCATTCAGCATTTCATTCATTCACTCATTCATTCATTCACTCATTCACTCATTCATTCAGCGATTCACTCACTCCACTCATTCACTCATTCCCTTCAGCCCAAAGCTCCGCCCCTTCTGAGTGGTCAGAGCCAGCCCCTCCCCCTCCCAGCTCACCAAGGGCCCTGAAGAGGCTGTTGTCTCCCCTGGCCCCCGAAAGCCCCATCCGGCACTTTTAATACTGTGTGTTACCCCTTTAGCGGCATCTCTAAGGGCTTGTGCCTTTAGCACTGAAGGCCCTAAGTTTGAGCCCAGCCAAAGGATAGAAGTGGTGGATGTCTGTGGCCACGGGCTGCCCCCCTGCGGTTCGGGAGTGTCTCGCTGGACAGGGGGGGCCCATTTTTGAGGGATTTCCTCCCACTGGACCAGGCACCTCAATCACCGCACCCCTGCCTTAGGGACTAGAGCGTTCTCCTTAGCGCTGTAGGGCATGACGGAGGCCTACCTCATTACAGGCAATACCAAGGCTCTGGAGACACTTCAGGACTTTCCCCTTTCTGTTCCCAGTGGCTTCCTTCTCGCCCTCTGAGAGCTCCAGGGAGAACCGGACAGTGTCATCCTGCCAAAAATAAAAAGCCAAAAAAATTCCCCAACTGATCTCTTCAAAGGCTGCTGGGAAGTGGAGATACAGGGGATGGGTGCAGCTAGCACAGGTCCCTCTGAAATTCTCTTAATATTCGTATCATGCCTAGAGACCTCAGCCAAGATCCCAGGCAGAGCTGGGCAAAGGATCGATTTTTCCATTCACTGGACGTTCTGAGAAACTGGGGGGAGAAGGGGAGATGGGACCAGTTTGAGTTGAACCCAATCCAAACATGGTAAAAAGTTTGGTCAAATGGAAAGAAAGCGACTCTGGGCTGAACCTAATTTACCGTCCTTGACTCAGACATTTTCACCGCCTCTTCCAGGTTTCCTTGTGGCGCTCGTGGGGAGATGGAATTCTTCCTGCAGCAGTAAACGAGCTCTTTAAGGAGCGTCTAGATGGGAGGGCCAGGGCAAAATCAGACAGCTGTTTTCTTCTTTCTGTAACTGTTTCATAGAAAAGGAACATTGAATATAGTAACATTGGGATATTGAGCGGAAATTGAAAAAGTAAATAAAGAAGGTAGGAGCCCAAATCCCACTGAACCTCAAGCTGGAAAAGTAAAAGAAAACAAACTAACATTGAGCTTGGTTAGTTTAGAGGTTCCACTTTCCAAATATAAAGGTAGTACGTAGCTTGACAGCATGCGTCATGTTACAGCTTTTGAAAGGTTTTAATGCCCCCTTATGTTCTGCCCTCCCTCGACAGAAGAAAATATTTAAACTATTTTATGAAGTGGAGATTGTTTAGAAAGCGCACGATAGAAAACTTCATCGGGGAGTCTTATGTCAAGGCAGGTAGAGAGAGAAACACGTCGAAAACTTTCACTCGTCCGTATGAGGGAAGGTAAAGAAGAGAGTTCTTTTGAAATATTAAAAGAGCACGAGACATTTAAAAAGGGCCTTGAAAGAGAGGAAAGGCCAGATGGTAAAGAGGGGCTGTGGGTGAAAAATTGCTAAGTTCAGAAAAGCAGCAGGGCAGGGAAGGAGGGACAAAGGCTAACTTACCCTCGAGGCCGTCCGGGGAAAGACAGAGGCTCACAGCACCACGGGGGTAGTTATCCCACCTGTGGGCTGGACCAATCTGCGTCACAATACCCACGTCTTTTTTTAAAACCAGAACTGTCTCCCTCTACTCCGCCTCCTCCCCTCCCTTGAACCATCTTGTTCTTATCTAAAAAACCAGTCCCCAGGTATTTCCCCATGATTTAGCTCTTTTACATCTGCGTTTCAGTGAAAAACCTGCACAGACAGACCACGGTCAAAACCTCAGTAACAAACCATTTATGAACAACAAGAAGTCCTGTGGCACCTTATAGACCAACAGATTTATTGGAGCATGAGCTTTTGTAGACAAAGACCCACTTCGTCAGATGGTTAGAGCCCGGGGGATGGCGGACGAGGGCTGGGAACCAGGATGTTGGCAGCCTGAACAAGCCAAGAGATGTGCATGGTCCCTGCTGTTATCCGCAGAGTCCTGCTCTTCCGTGGGGTGTTTTCCTGTGGGGTAGGGTTGGGGGGCAGAGAAGGGAAGGATGTTGGGGTAACAGTGGCCTAAAAAACTAGTGTACTTCTGGATTGGATTAACAGGAGGACAGGTTGGACGGATATCTATCAGGGATGGTCTAGAGGTTGCTTGGTCCTGCCATGGGGGCAGGGGACTGGACTTGATGACCTCGCGAGGTCCCTTCCAGTTCTGGTGTTCTAGGATTCTAGGATATGGAAGAAGTTGGCCTGCTGCAGCCAGCTCTGGGGAGGCCTCCATGGGGGCCCCTGGACAAATCTGGCAGCCCCGTTTCAGGGAAGATGTGGGCACGTTGGCGAGAGTGCAGAGAAGAACAGAAATGAGGAAAGGATGAGAGAACCGGAGCTAGGAGGACTGATGAAGGAAACGGAGCC